GCAGGCTGCTCGCAGCATCCCACCGGGAGGATGATCTGCCAGGCCTGGGCAGAGGTTGGGATGCCAGCAGGGCTGCTTTTGGCAGCGCCCGGTGGGCTTCGACTCCTGCCATTGCCCCTCCAAGGTCTCTCCCTCACGCTGGGAGCTTTCGTGCTTCCTTTCGGGCTGAGACCTTCTGGATTTTCAGAGTCCCTTCCGTAATTCCCTGGTCACTATTTAACCCAGCTGATGGTCACCTTCCTCCTTAACATAACCAGCTTTGGGGCAAACACCCTTCAGACATGTATCACCTGTTCATTATCACCTTCTTTCAGCAGGGTTCATTATCAAGGCCATTAGTCAAGGGTGGGCTCTGTGAGACCCCGCACCAGCCCTGAAGAAGGAGGGTGGCTGGCATGGGGCTCATGGGGGACTCTCCCTCTCCAGAAAAACCCATCACTTACTCTCCTTCCACCCTCCTCTAAACTGCCCAAATCAAGGCAGCTTTCCCACGGTGCTGCCTGCAGCCTGCCCGCACCAGAGGGCAGGATCTGGCCCCACTCTCCTGGTGCCCCAGGAACCGTGGGGATGGTGGGGACAGGAGAGGAGAGGTCCCCGTCCCCTCCGCTCCCGTCCGCCCCGCAGCACCCGGCGCGGGGACGCAGCAGGACCCCGTCCAGCTCGGGCCAAGGCCACGGGAGGCCGGACCGGGACGGACGGCAGAGAGCCAGGGCCACGGCGTGGCCGAGCCCCAGCTGGGCTGGAGCCAAGCCCGGCCCCACGGCCGTCCAGCCCGGCTCCAGGCTGGCAGGAGAGGACAGCGGAGGAGGGACGTGCCCCGGTCCCGCATAAAAAGCCCTCGGCGGGGACGGGGAGCAGGCGGCACCCCAAGAAGGGAGCAGAGCGGCGCTGCCGGAGCCGCGGGAGCGGGGCCATGGAGCAGTACTTCTCGGCCACCCAGAAGATGGAGCAGGAGGTGATGTTCCCCAGCCTGCTCCGAGGGGTCTTCCCGCAGCAGGAGGGGGCGGCCCCGGCCACGGGCGGCCGCGCGGACCTCTACGAGCGCTACCAGCTCCTCAAGGCCATCAAGCCCGTGGTGGAGAAAGGGCTGGCCTCCGTCAATGACCAGAGCCTGCCTCGCACCGATGCCGATACAGCCTTAGATGAGGGTGCAGACAGCAATCTGGAAGAGCGCTTGTCCCATCACGTCAATGGCTTGCAGCAAGTTCTGACAGACCTCACCAAAAACACCAAAGCCCTGACCCGGCGGTACAGCCAGATCCTGGAGCAGATCAACCTCAGTGAAGATCAGTCCAGCTCTTGAGCCTGCACCCCCAGCCTCTGAGGTAAGAGCCTGGGGAGATGCTGTGCCAAGGAGGAGCTGGCTGAGGGGTAACACACTTTGTCCTCTTGCCCCATAGCTGGGTCGCTTTCTAATGTTTGTGTCACACCCCCAAATCCCAGGAGTTATGAGTCTGCACTTCATTGCTCAACAGATACATCCTCCTGGATTTGTCTTTCTCAATTGCCCACTGGTGCAAGCTGTGCCACTGAACAAAGGTCGCTTTGTGAGCTCCGCGTTGGCCCCAAGGCTCCTTGCAGCATAGGCAATGTCTGGCTGCTGCTGGGCAGAGACAAAAGATCCCAGGGACAAAAGGGCAGGGTGGTTGGAGGACCCTGAGCTCTGGACTCCAGAGCTGCCAGACACTGGTGCTCCAGCTGTTTTTCTTTTTTTCTCTGATGGAAAACACAACAGAGTCATTTTTAGGGAGCAATTTGGCACATTCAGGTCTCCAAATGTCTAAATTTGACACGCCACCTGCAAACGGCTCAGACACTTCAATCTTTCCATAGCCTGGAAAGCAAACCCATCCTCCATGATGGTGGGACTTTCATCCCTGAGGGACACATCCCTGTGGCTCACCAGAGATGGGGCTCACAGTCAAGGTCCTTGTAGTGAAATGGAGAGCGTAGAAAGGTGACAGCAACAACAGGGAGCACTAATAGGCACTTTACAATGTTAACCCTCCTTTTGGAGGAAACCAAGCCAGGAATGAGGACATCCTGGCCAAACTGTGTTCGTTATCCCCACAGGGTGATCTGTCGTCCACAGCCCAGCGGCACTTTTTCTCCTGTGCCAAGTCCCACCGAGGAAGATCCTTCGTGAGCAGCCCAGAACTCGGCCGTCTGCCCGCCGGGCGCTGCCTGTACCATTCGACTCGCCCTGCAGCTGATCCTACTGGCAACCTTGCTGCTTTGTTTCAGCCCTGTCCCAGGAGGATTTCTGCGGGGCAGAAATGAGTGTTTCATGTTATTGCTTTGTAGAAGGCATCTGTAACTTCGAAGCTATGCTTTTTTCTGCTTGTGCCTAAACCCCGCCAACCGGTCTCTTTGATAATGTAAATGAAACGCAAAGCCTTGTGCAAATGTGTCCTGTGTTTCCTACCAGCTGTCGCTTCTGCATAGCTACTGTCCCCCGGCCCATGAGGATGAGGGGACCTTGGCCACCGAGGCCACACTCCAGTGCAGGGAGGTGAGCTGGGTTTCTCTGGCAGGGAGTGGGAATTGGGTTTGCGTCGGGATGGATGGCTCTCCCACCTTGCAAAAGCTTGGTGTAATCCTACCATCGCCCTGTTCTGGGTGCTGGGATCCCAACCTGCTCTCCAGCATCCTTCCTTCCCTTCCCCAGCATCCTTTCCTTTCTTGGACCCCCAACTTCTCAGCTCCCCACCCCAATCGGTACCTGCACATCCCTTCCCTCGGCCCACACTCATCCAGCCCTTCAGACCCAGCACCATCTCCACCACACACAGCCCTGGGGACAACCTGCCGCAATCCCCGCCAGCCCCAGCAACACCAGGAGGCAATTCTGCCTCCTCCCTGCTTCGCCATGGCACCCTCCAGAGCTAGGGGCAGAGGAGGAGGAGGGGATGCTCAGCTGGGGTTAATAGGAAGGCAGGATTTTGCTCACATTCGATTCCTGTGAGCTGTGGGGAGACCAGGGGCAAAGCCCTCACTGGGTGGGTGGGCAGGGGGTGCAAGCCCTGCGTGGGGGGGTTGGAGTCATCAGCACAAGCTGGGTCCCACCTCCAGGTGACTCCTTCCCTCCCAGACACATCACCTGGAGAAGTCCTACTGAGCTGGGCACTAAAGGGAGATGTCCCCTTGCCTCTTCAGGCCATTTTAAAACAAATTCAGTTGTTGAAATAGCGCTGCTTTGGCTGAACAAACACTGGTCCTCCATCAGCTTTGCACTTTTGATTAAAGAAACTAGAGATCTGTGAGCATCTGTGGTGAGAGGAGAACTGTGACCATGCCCTGGGCTGCAGGCCCCAGTTGTGTTGCATGTGTTGCTGCACGTGCTCTCTGAATCTGCCATATCACAAGAGTGAAATAACATCCTTCAGACTGAAACCAGAGACTCATCAGCTCTACAAGTCTCAGTCTAAAATGAGCAAATGTTCTGCAGATGGTTCCTGTTTCTTCCCATCACCTGGAGGCAGCTCCATGCCTTGGTCATGGGTTCATGTTCATGTTAACCCCTTTAGTGGGGCCCTGATTGCTCAGCAGCACTTTGAAGCTCCACAGCACTGTAAAGAAACAGAAAAGCAGGAACTCCATGCCTTGCTTTTATTTTAGTGAAATCTTAATAGCACAGAAAAAAAAGAAAAATTATTGCACAATTTAACAATGAAATGCACTGTGGCTTCAAAGCATCCCCCCACCACACCCCCTGTCCTGATATTCTCAGCAATGGTAGATGCTGTCTCAAAGTCAGTCATGCTTAAATCTCTGCACAGCCTCAAAAACACCCCAGAAGCACCGACTCTCCTACAGTCCTTGCACAGAAGGAACCTAGCAGTGGTCTGGGGACACCTTATGCCCCACATAATTCCTCAGGGGAATACATTCTCTTTGACAATCAGGATCATCCCATACCCAGGCAGAGTTTTGCTATAGATCAAAACTAAACATGATCCCCTTTATGCTGCTTTAATAGATGAAGACTGATAAGGAACCTAGTTGTGTTAATGAAGACCCTCTCTGCAGTGTACTGACCACAAGAAGAGACGAGCTCCCTGGCTGCCTGCTGAGCAGTGAGTTTATGCGTCAGCCAAACCAGGTCAGCTTCCCTTTGGCCCATGCCATGAGGGTGTGAAGAGTTGTGTGGCCTCTCCTGTGTACCTGTGGCTCTTGCGCAGTAAAAAAAAAAAAAAAAAAAGAAAAACCAACAAAAAACCCCAAACAACCCAACAAAAAACTCCTTCCCCCTAAACGTTCCCTCGTTAGCATCCTTTTTTTGTCAGCTGGTTGGCAGAGACTATCTGATGGACTAGAAAAAAGCAGAAGGTTCTGTTACAACTGAGGAGAGTAATCCTTCTGTACATTTTCCCTTCCTCTGTGAAGGAGAAGATGATGCTGGGCAAAAGAAAAGACATATTATTTTTTGCTCAGTATTCCTATTTGTTGTTACCTTCCCTGAGACTTTGGGGACCCACCAAGGCTGAAAATATAAGACAGTGCCGTGTAGGGCAATGGGACTGGGAAAGTGTCTCAGCAAAGAGGATAACGTGAGCCTGGCAGTCTCACTATTGCTCTTCAGGCTTCTCCTGCTGTGGCCATGGGGAAAGACTCAGGGGCTGGAAGACCCAGGTCTGTCTGTAGCCCCTCTACCAACCAGGCAGAGGCCTGGGAGAAATTCCTACATCTTGCCCACCCACAGCTCTGAGGATGGTAATGTAGGGGGTACAGAGGCATTACTAGCTTAAAATGTATGGTTAGTATTATACATAACTGGGCATGTTTGGGTGTCTTTGATGGGTACAGCAAAACTCTGCAGCATCTCCAGCTCTCCTCATCTTACTAGGATTCATTTAGCTTTTTCCCTGTGTTCATCCATGTGATTAGATAAATATCTAGTCATTTGTTTAAGAGAAAGACTTGTTGCCCCTTGTGACTAAGGGAATTATCTTAAAAAGTGCTATGCAAGCATTTTAAAGCTCAAAACCAGAATGCAAATAAAAAGGACTCACACATATACATGGTGAGGGGACAAAAATATTTGTAAGGCACACATGTACGTCTTACACAGAGATACATTCCATATACATTATTTTGTATATATATGCATACATGTTAATCTTTGTTTCAGACAAAACTTTTCATGGGGAGGGAGCAGACACAGATTTCAGAGGGGAAGAATTTATGACATAGAATTCAGGACCTGTGAACGGTCTATTTTTTGCCCAGCACTCTTTGTCTGATCCTGGTCAACCTTTTGCCAGTCTGGTCCTCAGCTTCCTCTTCTCCTTGCTTAAGAGTTAATACTCATTCAGAGCTTTGACTTAGGGGGAAGACACAATGTGCAGAGCAAGGGCAATTTCTCGTTTGCTGCATTCTGTTCTCCCAGGGTTTCTTAGAGAGAGACACTCCCTGAAAGACCCAGCATTGCACAAGGACAAATCAAAGTATCCATAAACTGTTGTGAATATTGTGCCAAAGCACCCATCAGGGAAACAGGGCAGGAGTTGATAAAAACCAGAGCTTATCATTGCATAGAAGCTCTGCAAAGGGAACAAGGCATTTCTGCAATGGTGTGAACGTTGGGAAATGCCCCTATAACACCCAGTCTGAGCTGCTGTAATGCAGAAAGCGTCAGCAAAATGTGAATAATGTGTGAAATGGGAACTGTATAAACCATCCAATTGCATCAACAGCCCAAGTCAAGGGAGGAGGTGCTGGAAAAAATACTGCCAAACCACATATCCTTTGGCAGGAACATCTCACCAGGGGACAGAGATATCTGCCACTGATACCCGGAGGGAGCCCCAGGAATGTAGATCCTTTCTCTAGCTCCCCAGCAGCTTATTTCCACAGCAGATGCCCAAATATTTCCTCTTGATTGAAACCTTGGTCTCACAGGGTCCCACAGATACACAGCCAAAGTCTGTCTTCTCTTTCCCTCCTTATTTCTGTGCATCTAGCTGGCAGCAAATGGTCTTATCTCTCAGCCTTGCTTTTTCCATGACTGGCCCAGTCTTTCCTCTCCTTCCACCGGCTTGGGAGAAGTGAGTTGTAGCCTCAGCAATAAGACCAGGCATAAACCCACTGGCCGGGTTGCCATCCTTCATAGACTACATTGAAATAATCCTCTTTTCTGCAGATCATCTTTTTTCTGGTTAGGCCGACAGCATCAGCCTGAACTTGGACTAGAGACAACCCCACGTCCCTCGAGATGGAGCGACCAACTGAATGGACTCATGCTAACACCTTCAATAGGACTGCTGTGTGACAGGGACCTGGGAATAGTGGCACCCATACACTCAGCTCTGCCCCACACA